CAAGTGAGCCGAGAAAAGCATCCATGGATTCACCGCATCCGTTAGTAAAACTCTGCCGGGGTTAATTCCTCCCCTCCTTGTCCTGTCAGGCCTCTGCTTCCAGCCCCAGGGTTCTGGTCTGTCTTTGTTGGCTCGGTTCCATTGCCTTGTGCTCCGGGGATCTTCTCCCCCTGGGGACTTCTGGGGCCAAGTCCCCTCTTCACCATCTCTTGTTGTAAGCTGTCTTCCAGGCCTTGGCCAACGCTGCTGGTGGTTTGCTCTGGGAGGTGCTGAGTTTCATCGATTTTTAGGGCCAGAAAGAATCGTTTGGATCCCCTAGTCAGAGCTCCTGCGGGACACAGGACATAGAATTTCCCTGTGTGGTTTATGTACCCAGCCCATATCTTGTGATTGAGCTAGCGCGGATTTTTCCAAACGAGCCATCCAGGCCGAGTGGGTTCCGACACTGACTCCCTTTGTGACCTTGGGTGAGCCCCTTCTCCCCTGTAACACAGAGACAGCAACACAGATTGCAGAAGATTAATTAGCTCCTATTCACCAACTGCTTGGAAGATGCAAAGTGCTAAGTATTGTAATTATTATTAATTTCTAACCCAGGGGCCGGAACCTGCCTCTGGCATATTAATGAGCCCTTAACGATGGTGCCAGAGCTCTGTCATCATTATCATGCCTGAGGTAAACCGCGCACAGGCCTCTTGATCTTCATTAGGGGGAGGTGAGAGAGGGACTGTGGTGAGCGGGAGAGCTGCAGGGTTTCTGTGTTACAGGCATTGCCTTCCGGGGAGCCAGGAGTGCAGGGTAGCCACCGGGGAGGCTGGGGGTTCAGAGAGGGAATCGGCCAGAGCCGGGAGGGGTTGGGGGGACTTGACGCCGTGGAGCCCTCCTCTGCCGAGCCTGACGTTGGCACTGGGCAGAGGCCGCATGGGACGTCTGGGCACCACTTAAACCCCACTTCAGCCCTGAGGAGACTTAAGATGTGCCAGGGGGCATCCAGGCCTTGTCCTGATCCCATCCGCTCGGGGTGAATTTCACCCCTGGGAAAGGTTAAGGCTGAAGCCCATCTGGCCAGCGCTGCAAAGGAGGTCAGCGTATGTGGGGCCGAGCTCTTCATCTGACCCGAAGAGTCTTATTTCATCAGCATCGTACTTCCCCTTTGCTGGAACCAATTCCTGATTGACTTACCCCAAGCCAGCATCAGCCTGGTGTGAAACAAAGGGCGTGCGTCCACACGGCCTTTTGTGTCAGTTTAACCAAATCAGTTCAGAATCACACTGAATGTGAAACTGGTGCAATTTTCTCACGTAGACAAGCTCTTAGACTGGGGATTTTTCAGGGCAGGGATTGTCTGCAGCGCCCAGTGTGATGGGGCCCCAATCTCAGTCACTCCGTGTCCGTGCAGTGCTCAGCCCGACGGGGCCCCGATCTCGGTCGGTGTGTTTCTGGGCAGCGCCCGGCCCAACGGGGCCCCGATCTCGGTCGGTGTGTTTCTGGGCAGCGCCCGGCCTGATGGGGCCCCGATCTCGGTCGCTGTGTGTCTGGGCAGCGCCCGGCCCGACGGGGCCCCGATCTCGGTCGCTGTGTGTCTGGGCAGCGCCCGGAGCGACGGGACCCCGATCTCGGTCGCTGTGTGTCTGGGCAGCGCCCGGCACAGTGGAGCTGGGATGTGGGGTGACCAGGCACTAGTGACCTACACGTACTTTAAGTTGTGTCTAGGGGCTAAAACTTGAAGGCTAGTAAGGGATGTTGGAAACCGCTGGCGCTGGCCGGGAAGCAGGGGTGGGCAGGCGGTAGGTAGGGGGAGTGTCTGTGTGCGTGTGTGTGTGTGGCAGGGGGGTGAGTGATGCGTGTGTGTGTGTGTGTGTGTGGCAGGGGGGGGAGTGATTCATGCCTGTCCAAAGGGGGCACAGGGAGAGGGACTTGGCTGGGGTTG